TAATGCCGACGTACCCGGACCGACTTGACTCGCCCCGACTCGCCCGACGGAGGGAGGAGCACCGACTCGCGCGGGCTTGGCGGCGCTTGGTCTCAAAATAGTTTTTTTCGTTTTTTTTTTATTATTATTGATTAATATTAAAGAGTAGGTAGGTTTCTTTTCTTTTTCTTTTTTTTTGTGCGTTTAAGATGAGAAAAAATGCCGCTTGTTTTCACAATCGGCCTCTCTTCGAGTTGATTTTATGCTGTTATTTCATCGCCTCACGATAAAAAGATATATATCTATATCTGTCTGTCTATCAATATATATGTATATTTTATATATACACATATATATGTACATACATATATCTGTCGAGAAAGAAGCTTTTCAAAGCATGAAGGCAACGGACTGTCAGCCTATAGTCCAACCAGTCATGACAGATCGAATTCGCCCAGTCATAAAAAAACGAAGAAAAGAAAAGGGGGAAAAAAGACGATTGTGATAGATCGACTCCAAAAAGTATAAGAAATAAACACCAATAAGAATCAGAATCAGTAATATTGTGACGGTGACGACGACGATGAAGGCGACGATGATGGTGACGATGATGGGGGTCATTTTAATCACTCAGCGGGATTACCGGATTATTCCCTCGCGATGGTCGTAATCATCGCCTTTTGACCGATTATTAACACACCTTATGGCCGAGGGAGGGGGAGGAGGGGGAGGGTAAGGGTAGCAGAGGAGTCGTTGGGATCAGATTTATTGCTTTTTTTTTCTCTCTCTATCGTTATTCTTCTATTTCAGTCTATATTTCGTTCTTCTTAATTCTTCTTTTTCTTCTTCTCTCTCTCTCTCTCTCTCTCTCTCTCTCTCTCTCTCTCTCTCTCTCTCTCTCTCTCTCTCTCTCTCTCTCTCTTTCTCTCTTTCTCTCTTTCTCTCCCTTTCTCTCCCTCTTCCTCTGCCTCTCTCCCTCCGTGGTCGCCTGATCCTCTCTCACTTAACAAGATTAGCTCATCAAACATCACTCGAGGAAAGTTGTTGAAAGGTTGATGGATTGATGGTTGCTTCGGGAGGGGGGGAGGGGGGTAGCCAATACCCGCCCTCCCCTCCCCTCCCCACCCCTCCCTCCCCTCGGCCGCGACAGGTGGACTTCACCCTTCGGTATTGTCCCTTTGCCTCCCTCCCTCCCCCCCTCCCCCCCTCCTCCTCTACCCTTACCCCGTCCTTTCCTTCCACTCCCGCACCATCCCATACCCTACCCTACCCTACCCTTCCTTCCTTCCCATTCTCTCCCTTCCTCTAACCTCCCCTTCTCTCATCCTCTCCCTCCCCTCCCCTTCCTATTCTCTCCCTCCCCTCCCCTTCTCTCATCCTCTCCCTCCCCTCCCCTTCTCTCATCCTCTCCCTCCCCTCCCCTTCCTATTCTCTCCCTCCTCGTCCCTTCCCTCTCCCTTCCTCTCCCTTCGACGCCCTCACAATGGCCGTGTTACTTCTGCCTGGCTTCATCAGGGCGGCCAGCGACACCTTCCTTTCCCCCGGGATGAAGGGAGGACGAGGGAGACCAGGCACGAAGGGAGGAAGAGAGAGGGAGAGAGAGAAAGAGAAAGAGAAAGAGAGGAGGAAATGGAAGAGGGTGAGGGAAAGGGATAGAGGAAGAGAAAGGGAAAAGGAAAGAGGAAATGGAAGAGGATGAGGGAAAGGGATGGAGGAAGAGAGAGGGAAAGAGAGAAAAGAAATGGAAGAGGGTGAGAGAAAGGGGCGGAGGAAGAGAGAGAGTATGAAGGGGACGAGGCAAGGGTCGAAGAAAGAAGGAAAAGACAATGATAAAATGCGCTAACGAATGCGGTCTGCCTTTAGTTGCTATTTTCGCTCTTCTCAGTCTCTTTATTTCGAGTTTCCGCGACCCGCTGCTCCCTCAGCCGGGCACAGGACTCCCGCAGGAGCGCCCCGACGCAGCAGGCGAAGCACGAAGCGGAGTGAAATCCCGGCCAAGGGCTGTGACAGGCCGCCCGATCGTCCCGCCGCTCGCACAGCCGCCCAAATGGGAATCCAATGCTCTCTATGCTCACTTAATTATTGCACTCGGCGAATTGATGGCACACCGGGCTACTCACTGGAGTAATTGATGAGTAAATATGTCATGTGGAGCGTCGGGCCCCGGGTGACGGCCGCCGCTTCGCCCTGGCTGCAGCGGCTCTGCCCCCGCTGTGCCTCCTGCTGCGCCTGCTCGCCCTTCTCTTCCTCTCTCTTCTTCCTCTCCCTTCTCTTCCTCCGCCTCGTCCTACCTGCATGCTCTTCTTCCTTCTATTCTCCTTCCTCCTCCTCATTCTTCTGTTCCTCCTCCTCCTCTTCTTTCTCATCCCCCACCTATACTCCTTCTTCCTCCTCCCTCTCATCCTTCTCTTCCCTCACTCATTCTCCTTCTTTCCCCTCCTCCTGTGCCCCCGCCCCCCCACCCCACCTTCGCTCCCGGAGGCTCCCCGAATCGGAGGCCAATTTAAATAAGAGGCGATTGTGTAACATCAGCCGAAATGTAGAAAGAAATAGCAGTAAATAAAATGCAAGAAATCTCCCCTCAGAGACGGTCCCCGGAGGTCGTTCCAATAAAGAAAAAGTGCATCAGGGGAGAAGTACGAATTAATAAAGGAATTTATTAGCAATAAAGGGAGGAGGACCAAATGTAGACGCAGGTCCCCCGGGAGAGAGGGGCGAGGGGCGGCGCGGGCGGAGGGG